CAATAATACTGTAAAGTTACATCAAAATCCGTTCTGTAGTTTTTGCGTGAAAGAGCAACAAAGATCCAGACATCCAGACATCCAAACTTTCGCATTTATAATATTATAGTTAGATAATTGTGTCAACCACTCAACTAAATACTACTTCCTTCTCGTGTATTTGTTTGCAAACTATTACTATAATAACGTACTAAATATAAATAAGTATACGTGAATATCTGTTATTGTCTTTCTTGCATAGTATTAAGAGTAACATTTTTCTATCATAACGAAATAAACGCAACACATGACAAGACAACCCTAGCGCGACGGCCGAGCGTGCGAGCGAGAGAGGTATGCAAAGCGAGGAGTACATACATGAGTTTACCTTCTGTTATAATAATATTTTGTGCTCGAAGTAAACAAAGGGGCGCGTCGTGTTACAATTTACAAATTATTGTATTGTGAAAATAAGCTTTTGCTTTTTATTTACATCTTTACAACCAGTTATTTTTTTTAAATAAATATTTTTCATGATTTTACCCTATTAATAATACTTACATACGATAATTCGTAAAATTATTTAGAAAAGCGGGCCTAAAAAGGCCAAATCGCGCAACATTGCTAAAAGGAATTCATTTCCAGAATTCGTAGCAGATCATAAGCAATTCCTCTAATTTTCATAAAATGGTCTTACATTTTGGCAGAATTGCCGCAATTCAATTCATAAGCAGATTCATATTTGGCGTCTATGTTGCCACATGTGAATAAAAAAAACCGTACTTTTACCGGTTATCATTTCTTTGAATTTTGCGCCTTTTAAAATTTAAATCTTGAACAATTAGCTCATTACTTGTCTCAAATGACTATATTTAATCAATAAACATTAAAATATCTCTCTTTAAGGACAAAAAATGGAAGATTGAAAATGATTCAGAATTTTATTTTCGACTGGCAATAATTTAGTTGTCACATAAACCAACTCGAAAAGAAAAAATGTGAGCAAAAACTTTTAAAGTAAATTCAACCAAACACTTGAGTTTCAATCGATAAATCGTGGTTTTAATTGATTTGTACACTTGAAACCTTTTCTAGCGTTATTTTTTGGTATTGACATGGGAACAAACATCCACTTCATTTTATGGAGGGACTGTACAAAGTTTCGTTTGTGCTTTTTGTACAAATTCAGTGTGCCATATTACAAGAAAGTGAAACGCGCGATAAACACTGTTATAAAATAACATTTCTGAAGTAAATGTTAATAAGTATCAGTAATCAACGTGAGTTTAACGTTTTCTAACTGTGGATGTTCTTTAAAACTCATCATCAACATCAAGAACTTTGAGTAGAAGTAAGTGCTTGAATTATACATTTACTAAAATTAATATTACAACTATTTGCCCCTAACCCTATCCTCTGACCATAATTTTCTACAGTATATAAATTATATCTTGCAGTTATGGAGAAACGTTCCGCGAGAGTGTCCGAGGCACAGTGGATGATTTTAATTGACTACCTGGAAAGTAACCCCAACCTCGCTAGGGCTAGGGGTTATAACAATAGTGCCCAAAGAAGGGCCCTAGCATCCCGACTGTGGCAAGAGGTGGCCACTCTTCTAAATTCAGAAGGCTCGGGAACAACAAAGTCTCCGAAGGACTGGTCAATTGTAATATTAAAATTCTATTTTTGTCATTAATATTGATCTGAAATACTATTACCATACTATCCACATATTACTAATTTTACACCTCTTTTTTCCAGTATGTCAGCAACTACAAAAGCAAACTCAAAAAAATAGTTGCTAACATAAATGCAGATGCCACTGCCACAGGCGGAGGGCCTCCAGGAACAAGTACCTTGTCACACACTGACAGGCGTTTTCTGGCCTTAATGGGGCCGGGATTCGGCCAAACGGCTCCTCAGGTGATGGTTCAACCTTTTCCGGAGGAGGTAATGTTTTATTAACAGTGTGGTTTACAGTAATTAACAATTAAATTAAAAAATATAACTAATTATTTTAACTTACAGCAGCCATCCACTTCAAATAGTTCTACATCTCAGTTGGTTTTAGAAGAGATGGACTATGTTTCACAGTGAGTAGTATTTTGTATTTATTTATACAAGTTATACTTATATTAAAGAATAAGCAAGGAATATAAATTTAATGGTATGTTTTCAGGGGTGAACAAGAGACAGTTGAAATTGTAGTAGAGATAGCTGAGACTGAAGAAGCAACCGAGTCGGAAACAAGGCCAGCTGAGACTGACACAAGGCCAGCTGAGACGGAAACAAGGCCAGCTGAGACGGAAACAAGGCCAGCTGAGGTGGAAACAAGGCCAGCCGAGCCACTATTACCTCGTCGAAGCAGGCAACGACAAAGGCTGCGAAGTAAGTTTTTTTTACTGTTATTCATAATATTACTAATGGCAAATAAACCTGTGGCAAACTTGATAGAATACACAAACATAATCAATGATAAAACACTTTAATTAAAACTATTGATAATAATTAACATAATTTAGAAGTTGTTATATTAAATGAGGTAAATTAAATATGTATTTCATAATGCAAAAGAAAAAAAAAACAGTTACTCAATGGTTTTTTCAGAAATCACTTACAAAAGATTTCTAATTTTTAATAGCTTTAAGTGATGTATTTTGCTATTTCTCAATGCTAAAAATTTAATATGAATTTGTTTCAGCTCGTCCACTGGCTCCACTAGATGAGGCACGGAGAATACTGTCTCAAGTGGAGATGCAGCGTGCTGCTGCAGATGCTGCCAATGCACGAGCAAATGAAGGCATTGCTCTCAACTTAGGACGTCTTGCTAATGTAGCAGAGAATTTTCTGCAACATTTTATTTCGCAGATCAATAATTCTTCATAAGATAATCCTTTCATTTTGTACTAGCTTATGCCCGCGGCTTCACCCCCCTGAAATTTAGTTTGTCACAGATCGTCATAAATTATAGCTTATATGTTATTCTGGGTTATAAACAATAACACTGTATATTTTCATCAAAATCCATTCAGTAGTTTTTGCGTGAAAGAGTAACAAACATCCAAACTTTCGCATTTATAATATTAGTAAAATTAAATTTTATTATAATTCTGTAATGTTTTACAACTTTACTTTTTTTCTTAATTTTATAAAACTTGCTAGGGTACTTTTATTAGGTATTTAAATAAATCACAAATTAGTTGAAAGAGTAATATTATAGTTGTTCAACTTAAGTATTAAAAAAATATTTCTTAAGTTTTAGATTTTAATTTACAATTTAATAAATACTTTTTAAACTGTTTGCTTTTAGTTGTTATTTTGCTAGAAGTTTGTGTTGTGGAATGGTTTAGTAGTTGAATCATTTCAGCCACATAGGCTGAACGCCGGTCAACCGCCTGTGATATTATTTTGTTTTGCGAAATTGACGAAAATGAGTGAACAGAAAAAGTCGTATTATAATTGTTCGGTATTTGGTTGCTTAAACTCATAATTAAATACCGAATTTTCATTTTTTTAAATTACCAGTTGATTCGGGGAGGTAAGTAAGTTATTTATTTGAATTTCAATTGAAATTGAAAGCCAACTCAATTATTAGGAATATCGAATTGTTTTAGAGAGGTTTTAGGAATTATTGGATAACTAGCTTTTGCCCGCGGCTTCACCCGCGTGAAATTTAGTTTGTCACTGTCATAAATTATAGCCTATATGTTATTCAGGGTTATAAACAATAATACTGTAAAGTTACATCAAAATCCGTTCTGTAGTTTTTGCGTGAAAGAGCAACAAAGATCCAGACATCCAGACATCCAAACTTTCGCATTTATAATATTATAGTTAGATAATTGTGTCAACCACTCAACTAAATACTACTTCCTTCTCGTGTATTTGTTTGCAAACTATTACTATAATAACGTACTAAATATAAATAAGTATACGTGAATATCTGTTATTGTCTTTCTTCCATAATATTAAGAGTAACATTTTTCTATCATAACGAAATAAACGCAACACATGACAAGACAACCCTAGCGCGACGGCCGAGCGTGCGAGCGAGAGAGGTATGCAAAGCGAGGAGTACATACATGAGTTTACCTTCTGTTATAATAATATTTTGTGCTCGAAGTAAACAAAGGGGCGCGTCGTGTTACAATTTACAAATTATTGTATTGTGAAAATAAGCTTTTGCTTTTTATTTACATCTTTACAACCAGTTATTTTTTTTAAATAAATATTTTTCATGATTTTACCCTATTAATAATACTTACATACGATAATTCGTAAAATTATTTAGAAAAGCGGGCCTAAAAAGGCCAAATCGCGCAACATTGCTAAAAGGAATTCATTTCCAGAATTCGTAGCAGATCATAAGCAATTCCTCTAATTTTCATAAAATGGTCTTACATTTTGGCAGAATTGCCGCAATTCAATTCATAAGCAGATTCATATTTGGCGTCTATGTTGCCACATGTGAATAAAAAAAACCGTACTTTTACCGGTTATCATTTCTTTGAATTTTGCGCCTTTTAAAATTTAAATCTTGAACAATTAGCTCATTACTTGTCTCAAATGACTATATTTAATCAATAAACATTAAAATATCTCTCTTTAAGGACAAAAAATGGAAGATTGAAAATGATTCAGAATTTTATTTTCGACTGGCAATAATTTAGTTGTCACATAAACCAACTCGAAAAGAAAAAATGTGAGCAAAAACTTTTAAAGTAAATTCAACCAAACACTTGAGTTTCAATCGATAAATCGTGGTTTTAATTGATTTGTACACTTGAAACCTTTTCTAGCGTTATTTTTTGGTATTGACATGGGAACAAACATCCACTTCATTTTATGGAGGGACTGTACAAAGTTTCGTTTGTGCTTTTTGTACAAATTCAGTGTGCCATATTACAAGAAAGTGAAACGCGCGATAAACACTGTTATAAAATAACATTTCTGAAGTAAATGTTAATAAGTATCAGTAATCAACGTGAGTTTAACGTTTTCTAACTGTGGATGTTCTTTAAAACTCATCATCAACATCAAGAACTTTGAGTAGAAGTAAGTGCTTGAATTATACATTTACTAAAATTAATATTACAACTATTTGCCCCTAACCCTATCCTCTGACCATAATTTTCTACAGTATATAAATTATATCTTGCAGTTATGGAGAAACGTTCCGCGAGAGTGTCCGAGGCACAGTGGATGATTTTAATTGACTACCTGGAAAGTAACCCCAACCTCGCTAGGGCTAGGGGTTATAACAATAGTGCCCAAAGAAGGGCCCTAGCATCCCGACTGTGGCAAGAGGTGGCCACTCTTCTAAATTCAGAAGGCTCGGGAACAACAAAGTCTCCGAAGGACTGGTCAATTGTAATATTAAAATTCTATTTTTGTCATTAATATTGATCTGAAATACTATTACCATACTATCCACATATTACTAATTTTACACCTCTTTTTTCCAGTATGTCAGCAACTACAAAAGCAAACTCAAAAAAATAGTTGCTAACATAAATGCAGATGCCACTGCCACAGGCGGAGGGCCTCCAGGAACAAGTACCTTGTCACACACTGACAGGCGTTTTCTGGCCTTAATGGGGCCGGGATTCGGCCAAACGGCTCCTCAGGTGATGGTTCAACCTTTTCCGGAGGAGGTAATGTTTTATTAACAGTGTGGTTTACAGTAATTAACAATTAAATTAAAAAATATAACTAATTATTTTAACTTACAGCAGCCATCCACTTCGAATAGTTCTACATCTCAGTTGGTTTTAGAAGAGATGGACTATGTTTCACAGTGAGTAGTATTTTGTATTTATTTATACAAGTTATACTTATATTAAAGAATAAGCAAGGAATATAAATTTAATGGTATGTTTTCAGGGGTGAACAAGAGACAGTTGAAATTGTAGTAGAGATAGCTGAGACTGAAGAAGCAACCGAGTCGGAAACAAGGCCAGCTGAGACTGACACAAGGCCAGCTGAGACGGAAACAAGGCCAGCTGAGACGGAAACAAGGCCAGCTGAGGTGGAAACAAGGCCAGCCGAGCCACTATTACCTCGTCGAAGCAGGCAACGACAAAGGCTGCGAAGTAAGTTTTTTTTACTGTTATTCATAATATTACTAATGGCAAATAAACCTGTGGCAAACTTGATAGAATACACAAACATAATCAATGATAAAACACTTTAATTAAAACTATTGATAATAATTAACATAATTTAGAAGTTGTTATATTAAATGAGGTAAATTAAATATGTATTTCATAATGCAAAAGAAAAAAAAACAGTTACTCAATGGTTTTTTCAGAAATCACTTACAAAAGATTTCTAATTTTTAATAGCTTTAAGTGATGTATTTTGCTATTTCTCAATGCTAAAAATTTAATATGAATTTGTTTCAGCTCGTCCACTGGCTCCACTAGATGAGGCACGGAGAATACTGTCTCAAGTGGAGATGCAGCGTGCTGCTGCAGATGCTGCCAATGCACGAGCAAATGAAGGCATTGCTCTCAACTTAGGACGTCTTGCTAATGTAGCAGAGAATTTTCTGCAACATTTTATTTCGCAGATCAATAATTCTTCATAAGATAATCCTTTCATTTTGTACTAGCTTATGCCCGCGGCTTCACCCCCCTGAAATTTAGTTTGTCACAGATCGTCATAAATTATAGCTTATATGTTATTCTGGGTTATAAACAATAACACTGTATATTTTCATCAAAATCCATTCAGTAGTTTTTGCGTGAAAGAGTAACAAACATCCAAACTTTCGCATTTATAATATTAGTAAAATTAAATTTTATTATAATTCTGTAATGTTTTACAACTTTACTTTTTTTCTTAATTTTATAAAACTTGCTAGGGTACTTTTATTAGGTATTTAAATAAATCACAAATTAGTTGAAAGAGTAATATTATAGTTGTTCAACTTAAGTATTAAAAAAATATTTCTTAAGTTTTAGATTTTAATTTACAATTTAATAAATACTTTTTAAACTGTTTGCTTTTAGTTGTTATTTTGCTAGAAGTTTGTGTTGTGGAATGGTTTAGTAGTTGAATCATTTCAGCCACATAGGCTGAACATAGACTTTGCCCAATGATATTCACATCAACCGGTTGATAGCGGCTTCCTGCTACCTTTATGAGGTCGTCGGTCCATCATGTGGGAATAAAAAAAAGACGAAGTAAAATCCAATCCACAATTTTATTTTAGTTATACACATTCATAGACTATTAAAAAATAAAATTAAATAAAATGTATTTATTTCAGGCATAGCCCATAAAAGTGTTAGTAACAAAGGTCTTATAAACTATGATTAGTAAATCACACAATAACCTATACATAATTATAGCCCCACCAGTTAAACAATGTAAGTTCACTTTAGGTTACAAAACTATTAAAAAAAAAAAGATTTTAAACGTCGCGTTAAGACCCGTGTCTTAAGTACTATATGAGTAAAAAAATGAGGTCATGATGATCGCGCTGACCAAAGTCTTTCTACGAGCACAGAATACATAATAGTAGCAACAGAAATTGCACTCCTTTGTGTAGGATCAGATGCCGACATTTTAACGGTAATAATAAAAAATTATAATAAAAATAAACTTTTTTAAAAACAAGCTTTTATTCTGAATTTCGAAAGTTTGTATCGCGCATGGAATTTATTCCTCTTTTTCTCTGTTTGCGCTACAAGCTTTCGAAATTCAGAATAAAAGCTTGTTTTTAAAAAAGTTTATTTTTATTATAATTTTATTTTACACTTTTTAGTTATATCTTAATCTCAGGACCCTGGACGTTATCTAACACTAAAGTGCTCGAAAAGACAAATCCAACGAACCCAAACTCGATGAGTTTCCGCCGTTTTGTTTAGGAGTTCCTATGGCCACCTCCCGACTCCATCATCAGACCAGCTCAATGGTACCATAATATTGCATTGTCATCGGACTTACAAACCAACCTTGTGTTGGGTCTAATTCTCGTCACTACACTGCACAACTTAAAATAATTACGTTTTTTGTCGGTAAAAACGTCCTGGTGACGTCACTTAAGCATTTTTCTTATACTGCGTGCGGTCGTTGCGCGTGCGCACAAAGGAATGAGACCGCTCGGACACCGAGCCCACAGCGTGGTAGGGGTGGGGTTGCCCGCTCTTTTGTTTTTTACTACTACTACCACAGAATACATAATAGTAGCAACAGAAATTGCACTCCTTTGTGTAGGATCAGATGCCGACATTTTAACGGTAATAATAATAATGCAAAATATCCAACGCACATGGTGCATTCGAAATTGCACCTTACACTACGCTCACAAGACCGCAATTTTTTTGTGTTCAGAATTGATCTACCTCACAGCTCAAGCGTCAGGGTTGAATAAGCAAATTAAAATAAATAAAAACTTAATTTTAAGAAGCATTTATTGTATTTACGATTGGTAAACTTTAATCTAGTGGTGTTTTTATAATCGTACCATCTCTAAAGTACCTATTAATAAACTTCAGTGTTGCGATAATTCGAAATTGGACACACAGTTTTAAAAGGTGTAGTGTCGGAAAATAGACACGGTGAAGTAAAGTTAATGTTTTTATTAGCTAAATAATTTTTTTGCTACAGTTTTTTGTCATAAGTAGGTATTTCAAAATTATTTAAAGTGTAGTTTTTTTTAATTATTTAAATTACTACAGTTAATTATTATTCCTAAATATTACGATTTTCCATTAAAGAAGAATAAAGTGCTGTTGGAACAATAAACCTTGATTGCGACGATAATCGACCGAGCGTGTATAGAAATACGCGTGTGCTCACAGGCGCGTCACGGCGCGTGGCGGCCTTGACTGATTTGCAACTTGAAGTTGTCGCGCGCTGTAGGTAATTATCTCGGCCGGCATATGCGAGTGACTGACGGAGGCCTGCTACGAGTGCATTCCTCTCCGATTCCCCAGCAGCTAATGGGTTGTTTCTTCTTGTGGTACTTTCCACATGTGTATGTGACATAATCTGTAACATAATTTTGTTTTGGTAATTATATCTTACTAAAATTATACCTATTAAAATAGTGAAATGAATACAAATTAATATTAATAATATTTTCTGGGAAAACTTGCTAACAGAAAGGAAGTTTTAAGAATAAATAAATGTAGTACATAATTAAAATGTAGGTACATGTAAGATGTAACTTATAAAAAAAGTAGCTTGTTGTAACGCACCCACCTGTCGAGTTATTTCACGTTGCTCCTCTTGTGGCGATAAAGGCGAAAAGGGCAACCTAGTTGCATTACAAATGTTGTGTAAAACTACACACGAATTTGTAATTAACCCAGCTGTTATAGGGTGGTAATGTAATTTTCTATCAACTAATAGACATCGCCAGCGCGATTTGAGAACCCCTATACATCTCTCTACAGTATTCCGAGTCCGACAATGCAGCTCGGTGTAGTACTCTTGCGGAGAGTCAGGTTCGGTATTTATTATCGGAGTCATTAGGGTCGGTCGAAGGGGATAGCCTGAATCACCTGAAAGGATTTTCATTAACATAGGTTGTACTAAATAAAAGCTAACTCAATAATATTTGGGTGTACCAAATATTGTGTAGATGTAGATACATACCTAAAAACCACAACGTTTCATTTTGATCCCGATGAAGTTGTTCCAAGTGGTTTTTAAGTGGGTGGTGATTCCAAATAAACGCGTCATGGCTTGCGCCCCCATGGCTTGCATCTATACTTAGAATATTTAAATCGGAATCACATATCTAAAACAAATATTTTTAACAAGTTAGTAATTTGAATTAATAGTCAATGGTAGGCACAATTAAATGATGATTAGATATATTCTGAAATTATGACAATAAATTATATGTCTATTAACAATTAATAAAGCAAATAGGTACTTACTATTTGAGCATTTAAGGAGTGATACCTCTTCCTATTAAAATACCTCTCCTCAAATTCTGCAGGCTTAGTAATAGCGATGTGAGTGCCATCTATACATCCCACAACTCCCGGAAACCCAAACTTCTCGTAGAACCTGGAAAATATCATGTTATAATGTAGATAGAGTAATGTGTTCAGAGTTAGAGAAAATCACTTAGAACTTGTTTTTGTAACTACTGACTGACAACATTGATTTTACCCGTTTTTTATAATATTCCGTTCTTCCCGAGTTTGTGGGAAATTAATGTATTTCCGCCGAAAATGATTATTATTTATAGCTTGCGTCACAGCCCTCACGCAGTTAGATACACTAACTTGGTGCATTCTGTGGTGCGCACTTGCTCCTATAAAGCGTTGGTACGAACCAGACGCGTAAAAGCTTAGTGCACTTAGTACCTTAAACAAAAATAAAAGGATTAAACTAACAATAAATCCTTGAAGGATGGTTATAGCAAGGAATCGTACCTACATCTCCCTTTTTTCTAAAATTTTAATTATTAAGGGGTACTTACTTTGGAGACAGTACTCATTCCTCCACGTCGAGATGGTAAATACGGTTCCAGCTCTTGTATGAGGTCCAGACACACACTTTTATTTAGGCGAAACAACCCGACGAACTCGGGCTCCGGTATCTCGAAGGCTATTTCCATGTTCCGAAGAGCCATACTTCGCCGACGATGTAAAATAGCCTCCGTAACACGGGCATGCTCCAAAAAGTTTTCATAAAGGCCTAAATCTGCCATAATTAAATTATTTATATAAATTCCGAAGAAGCTGAATTGTTAGATGTTGCTCTCGAGTAACTTCTTATGATTCTGCTAATTGACATATTAGCAATTCCTATTTTGTGGACCATTTTACGATTTCTCATACAAAACTGTCAAATGAATGAATTGCTGAATATGAATTGTATCCGAATCATAATATGAATTGCCGACAAGTGGCCATTTTGTGTTTTTAAATCTGAATCATATTATGAATCTAATGAGAATCAGTTACCAACTGCGGGCCTAAAAAGGCCGCTTTGAGCAATTCTCATTAATGGAAGATTTAGGCCTTTATGTAAACTTTTGGGAGCATGCCCGTATTATGGAAAGTGTTTTACATCGTCTAGGCTAGTATGGGGTGTTTGCAAAGGGTGCTTTTGACTTAGAATTGAGTAATATAATTAGAAATAGAAATGCATTATAAAACTTCAAAATATTTGTCGAAAAATGTGTACCTATACCTCAATCGATTCTTACAAGTATTAGGTAGGTACCTATCTAATTTAAATCTTATAGTAAATAACTATCAAGGTATGAGTCCACGATTTAGGGGGAGGGTTGAGGAGGGTAGGGAGAGGGTAGCTATTTAAAAGCAAAAAATTGAACCAACTCCAAAAAACCTACACTAAAAGGTAGAAAAATAATTACTAATTACTTATTTATTAGGA